GGTGGATCTATCATACTTTCTGATCTCATCTAAGCAGGTTTCTAGCCTATGCTCAAAAACCTGCAGGGACGGAGAACTAGGTAGACAGCCTATTCCTTGCTTCTCTATTGACAGTACTGGAAAGCATTTTCAATGCCTAATCTAAAACTCCTTGGAGCAAAATAAACCATCTCATATTCCTTCGACTCATTCCCGCTGCTCTTCTGAACCTTTGCCAATTAGTCCATACCTTTTTCAAAGCGTGTTGCTAAAGCTGGAGTCAGTGCTCCAGGAGGTATTCACAGCACTGAACAGAGCTCAGCCCCTCACATCTTTAAGACAGCAGAAGTTTCTTACATGTAACATCACCACTCATATATTCCAATATGGCATGGCCTTTTCTTAAAACAGGTAAGACAGATGATATTACCGAAAGAGTTATCAAGCATTGGCACAGGCTGCCCAGGGAAGTGGTTGAGTCACCATCCCAGGAGGTTATTTAAAAGACGCGTAGATGTGGTGCTTAGAGACACGGTTTAGTGGTGGACTTGGCCATGTTAGGTTAACGGCTGGACTCGACGATCTTAAAGCTCTTTTCTAACCTAAACGATTCTATGATTCTGGTTCAGCTTTGGATCTGCCAGTGCCCCAGGTCTTTTCTGCAGAACTGCTGCCCAGGTCTCTGTCCTGTGTCTGTAGCTGATCATTTCTGCTCTGCACTCAAGAGCGTGACATCAGAACAGCCATATGGAGTGCAGCATCAGCTCAGCAGCCCCTGGCATTTGCCAGCAGCAGAAGCCTAGGGAAGAGTGGAGGACCAGGGCCAGTAGAAAGCAGCACTTCCCCCATACACCCTCTCAGCTTCTAGCAGTGTGTGGCTTAGAGCTTGCCTGAACCTCGTGTTGCATCTTTGTGTTTAAAAGCCTTCAACAGATTTTCCTTTAGTAAATTTGTTTGACTGCTCAGTGACCTACTGGCCTTGTCCAAGTGCCCTCTATCGATTCAGGCCATTTGTCCAATGTGTCAAGATCATTTTTTTAATTCTAATCTCAATCTCCAATAGACTTGTGGTCCTTCCTGACCTAATGTTGTCTGCAACTTTAATGAATGCACCCTCTATTCCAGCACTCTGCACGTTAGTGAAGTACTGAATGGCAGCAGACCCAAGACAAGAGCGGGCCTGGCTACCATAGTTCTTTTAGTCACAGGGACGTTTATAAGGTGACCAAGTCTAAAATCTGGCTGCAGCTTTGGGCAGCACGTTGCTTCAAAGTTCCTATCTTGGCAATTCCAGTCCCGTTTTTCCTGAAAGTGCACTAGTTGCAGTGCAGCCTGACACCCTCACGCATCCCCCCTGGCAGGGTTTTAGGTAAGCTGAACTGGTGCACGTAATGTCACCAATAAAAAGCCTTTTTGTTGCTGTGCAGTGACCTCTCTGTCTGTTCGAAGAAGTGCAGCCAACCATCAAGCAAAAGAGAGCTGTGGGTGTACAGCCAAGGGAGATGCAGAGGATTTTCAGGGGCCCAGCTGCAACAGAAAGAATTGTAAATACTGTAAACGTCAGGGTAACACCACCTACATTTCTTCCGAGTGCAGGAGGGGTTGCTGCTGAATGGAAGACCTTTCTTGTAGTCAAAAAAGTGATGCCTTTGTCTGGGATCTCTTCATCTATCTAATCCAGCCTAACGTATTCTATTATTTGTGAATAGATCAGACCCGATAAGCTACACTGATGATCAAAGCTCAACTCTTTCAAGCAGCAGTCTTGGGATCTGGGATTCTGGCTTAGTACATTGCCAGTGTAATCTAAATTACAAATTCTGGCTCAAGCTCCAGAAGGCTCCAAGGATTGCCAGGGACTGAAAGGCTGGCTATATTGCATAACCTAAACACACCTGAAAGAACCAAACTGATGGCCTGGTTTTCTGCTGTCAATTCCCAATTAATAGGAAGGTTTAGCACCTAGAGGTCAAATCTTTATTGCCCTGAAACTCCTTGGGGAAAGAGCTTGAACAAAACCAGTTAGAGCTGCAGTTTCCATCTGGATGGGTGGAATGAGGGGCTATGAAGTCACAGCTCCCATTTCAGTCCTAAATTCCAGCCAGATTTGTGAAGACACAAGCTGATCATAGGCTTGTCATGCACCCTCTCTCCCAATGCAAGAGCCTTCATGCCAGGAGATGCACTGGGGAATGGGGCACTGGGCCCAGACTGCCCTGCCAGGCCTCTCTGCAGTGCCAGGTCTCGCTCAGTCATTTAGTCTTTGATTTTCTAGTTTCTCGCTACCAGTATATAGATATATTTTTAGGACCCTCTGCCCTGCATCCAGCAAATGATGTAAAATATCACCACTACTATGTGACTTTCACAGCCTTGTACAAAGGTTAGAAGAACGCATCGGTGCCATCCCTTACCTCAGAGCCCAGCCTCCCGTCTCTTCTTCCAGCCTCACCTCTCATTTATTTCCACTGATTGCACTTCACAGGATACTTAGCTGCAGGCAGGATCTCCTCCCTTTTCATTCAGCTCAATGGGAGCTGCCACGATGGGCTGAAAATGTGCTGTTTACTTAGAGGAAGAATGGGGAAGTATCAGCCATCATCCACCATTTTAATCCAAGACACAAACAATCAGTTGAGCACAGTCGTATCCAGATGCTGATATTTGATGGAAGTGAGTAACGCTGCAATAATTCACGGCTAGCTGAGATGTGTCTTCCATGAGAAAAGCTTCTTGTGAGACTCTGCAGACACCTGCCTAGAAAATCCTCCTCAAATGATATTAAAAGCCTCATCTACAAAACCGCAGGACTTCCATCAGTCCTTGGGGATTTACACGTCTCCAAAGATGAGGTACACTGTCAGGAAAACCTGTCATATCATTTTTAGCTGTCAGTCAGCACCTACAAAGACCCTGCTGTGGAGGGACCACCTTTTTAACCTACCACTCTGGAAGGTATTAACAAAATACCTATTCTCGCTGGATGCAAGAGGTGCTTGAAGGGGCTGCCTGCACAGAAAGCAGGTGAGGAACACCAAGGTTTTCTTCAAACGATGCTGGTTTCTGGGGAGAAAAAAAAATAAAAAAAAATAAAATAGAATATATAAAAATGCATTTTCGAATCTAGTTCATCACAAAGTATCAGCACGTGACAGAATTATCTATTTATATGGCATCACAGGAAATTTTCAGCACTGGTACCTCAGTGAAGTGATTCTTGCAAAGTCTACACCAATTAAAATATCAGTAACTTAGTCCTGGGATTTATTCAGGGTTGTCTGAGTTTAAATCAGTTTTAAAAGCAACTCAAGTTACATGGATGCAAAACCCAGTCATGTCAACACTCCTAGTCTCATTTAAAGCTTTTTCAAATTGATATTGATTTAGCTTAACTCCACATCAAACTGGTATTCGCACAGGAGCCTTGACCTATTTAACTGATGCACTTTTAAATAATATCTCCCATTTCACAGCTGCAACTCTGAATATAGACCTACAGGCAAAGCAACCTGAAGGTCCACCTACTTTAGCAGTTGTGCCGAAGGTTTTCCACCCTGGCTCCAGTAAATTGAGTCAACCGCTGAATTTGTAAGAGGTTTCAATACCACTACAGAAATATTCTTTTTTTCTAGAACAAACTCTTCAAAATAAAACCAAATTGAAGCACACCTACTAACTGCATGTTTTTAGCTGCATATTACACTACGGAGAGGGAGCCAAATGTTCCCCTGTCACTCAACCCACTGCTAAAGATGTAAGTTGCTCTTTTTCTACTGTGGTTTGTAAAAAAGAGGGGCTATCTTTTATCAGGCCAGCTGCCACTGAGACAAAAACAGATAAGCTTTTGGGCAGAAGCCCCTTCTTCAGGTCTGAAACAGCACCAGCAGTCTTGAAGGTGAAGAACAGCAGAGAACGACTTATAAATTTAATTGGATTACGTAAGCAGCTAGACCATCTACAAAAAAAAAGGGGCACTGATATCTGGAGCAAAGGAAGGGATAGCAGGGGAGGAGGAGATAAAAGGTGAGCTCCTCTGGCACACACAAAGAAAGCAAAGAGTAATTTACTGCTTGAGGAGGGTGAGGAAGAGGGACTTGTACCCTGTGCCCTGGTGTCTCTGTCAAGTCTGGGATCGTTAGCAGCATTAAGCATTTTAGGTCCCATGATGTCCTTTGAAGGTATTTTGTCAATGTCCCCTAAGAATCAGGGTTCAAGGAAGGTCTGCATTTATTTCAACTGTGGCAGGCTGCTGCAGAAAAGTACGTGCAAGGGGGGAAAAAAGAGGCCTAGGTATTACTGTCCTTCTGCCTTTCATCTCGACCCCAACTGCTGGGCTTTCATCTCACTTATCTGTGGAAAAATAGCAAAGATATACCTGCCCCAACGGGTCCTTTCACAAGCACAGAAGCGGTGCCTCTGAACGTCCTGAACTCGATTTATCTGCGGGAGTAGTAACAGGAAGAGTCTAACAGCTTCTTAATTATTTGTCCATTAAAAAAACACCAGCATGTATTTGGAGGAGGCACAGCGCTCGGGACAGCGAATACACGCCGTGGCCCTTCCGAGGCGCCAGGAGCTCCACAGCGAGCGAGCGAACACAGCCCACGTTGCCGGAGTCACTACAGACGATGGGAGACCATAGCGAGACACCTCGGAGGTGAGAAGGCAGCGGATAACAGGCTTGTTTCCCAGGCTGTCAACGGAGCGAGTGACACAGCGGCACCCTGGGGGCGCCTGGGAAAGGCTGGGAGCGTTTCTCCTCACAAAAAGGAAAAAAAAAAACCCTCAAGCTTGTGGCAGAGCTAAAGATTACACCCCGCTCTACCCTCCTCGGCTGAGGGGAAAGAGGGACGCTGGCTTCGCCGGCTCTGTGAGGGGAGGGCGGCTCGCGCGGCGCCCTCGCGCGGCCGTTTGGGCGGGACCGCCTTCCCGCCCAAACG